TCGTTACAGAGGTCGAAGAATCAAACAGAAGAGGGATGGTGAATTGCAGAGTGTCCTTCAATTTACCATCCCTCTTCTCCATCATCTTCTCTCATCATTACATTCAAAACTCCGGAGATACCCAAAAAACTTAAAGCTGCATTCTACAACTTAGAGGTACGGCCATTCATACCAAGCCCCTTGAGGTGTTTCAGATGCCAACAGTTTGGACACTGTGCAGTGAGATGTACGAACGAACAAATCTGCATTTGCGGTAAACCTTCGCATGAGGGCAAACCCTGTCAAGTGTGTTAACTGTGGTGGACCACTCGGTCAGATACTCAAAATGTCCAATATATCTACAGGAAGCAGAAATTCAAAGAATAAAGACAATAAAAAAAAACCCTATCACGAAGCAAAAAAGGAGATCTCCACTGCTATGAATAGAAGCAAAACTTATGCACGTGTAGCTTCGTCTCTGGACCCCATTTTAACGACTGGGGCGCTTGATATTAATGCCATTTCCGCTGTCTTGGTCCCGCTGGTTGTCCAGGCATTAAAAAGAGAATTGAACATCGCACCGACTAACGTACCGGCGCCTGAGCCTGTAGCGCAGGATGTAGTAGTCATACGTGTGAGTTAAATATAATTCTGGAAAGAGAAACTCCCTTCTGTGTGTGTCTCCAGGAAACACACTTCAGGTCGGAGCAATCATACTCGTTGGAAGGATACACATTACTACGTAGTGATGTAATTCCGAGACTGAGAGCTAGGGGTGGTGTTGCCATATTACTGGAGGAAAACGTTCCTTACAACAAATCTGCAAGCCATTGCAGTTATAGTTGGATATCCCCTGCAGGTCACGATCTGCAATATATATTTCCCAGATGCGGATTGGAATTCAAATGACCTTCTATCTCTCGTGAGTCAGCTTGCTTCGCATTATGTGCTTCTTGGAGATTTTAATGCACATAACCCGATGTGGGGTTCAATACGGAGAGATCATAGAGGGGTTTTGTTGAGCGGATGCTTGATAACCTTATTTGGATGAAAGGAATCTACACTGAGACGTGGAGAGAGGCTATAGTTGTACCTGTGTTAAAGTCTGGAAAGGATTCGAATCTCCAATCCAGTTACCGTCCAATCTCCTTAACAAGCTGCCACAGCAAAATATTTTGAACGCCTCCTCCAGCTTGTTCAGTTGGAAAGACGTGGTACGAACTATTCCAGCGTTTCCACTTTCTTGCTCTTGTGGCAACTAATTATAAAGAAAAATCAAATTAGTTAGCAAAATATTAAAAAAAAGATAAAAGTTTTTCGTTATCAACTTACCACTGTTAATGTACTAGGACAAGGGATACAATTATAGTAACCTTGGTTTTGCATAGTGTTGTTGTAACTAGACACTCCGGATTTGTACTATTGTTGATACATATCGATGATTAAATGATTATTAAATATCTGCAAGCATCTGATCAATGTCGTCATAGTCGAAATAGTTTAAGTAGACCTGCTGCTGAATATCACTATGTTTACATATACTTTAATAAATTGATAACTGCTGTTTTTTAAAAAAACTATTTATATTCACTTATTAGTTCTTGTACGTCTTGTCAATCTTCCCAATTACTTAGAGACGTCCTTGTGTCAGCCTCTGCTTGTTGCAAATTGTTTTCCATTGCATTTGGAACGGTATCAAAAGCAGCAACATATGTGAATGGATACGATTTATGCTGATGGATATGCATTTTGCTGATTTAATTGTTGAGTTAGGATGCAGCAACGTAGGAAATTACGAAATCTTTCGTATTCCTAGGAAGCATAATTGTTTCGTATCTCGGCACCATTACATGATTCAAACAATTTGTCACGAATGATCTGTCGATGTGGGCCCTTGCCAATTACTATCCAACATTGCCTTTAACGTCGGCGAGAGATTCTCCTCGTCTACGATTCTGGAACCTGATCTTGACTTGCTTCTCCTGCAGCTTCAGCGAAAGCTTGCACATTATCATTTTCGGTGACAGAATCTCTATAAATATTTTTTCAGCTCTTGCAGCTGTTTACGTACATGTAAATTACTTTAATAAACAAATCTTACATAAGGAAATATTTACTTTTTTCACTTATATTTATTGACTAAAAACTTACACTTATACTAATAACTACACATCACATTAAATATTCAATACGATAAACACTTTTTTTTACATATGTACAATACTTTGGTATGTAATGTAAGTAAAAAGAAATAAACATTCACTGGGCGCTATTAATGGTATTAAAAAATTGAGAACATGTTGTAAATAATTATATATCTTTAATAATTTCCAAAAGGTCGGAGTAGTCGTATTCCTGCTCTTCGCTGGAAGTATTGATGTTGAATTCATACGCAGACAGATTCAGCGGCGGCGAATTTGAATGGCAAGTCGATGGTGAGATTGGATTAACTGGGGATTGATAAGTCGATAATGGAATTAAGGATGACGACGGTCCTGGAAAATTGATGTTTTGAAAAGGAATTTGTTGATTTGGAGAATTTGATGCTGAAGATTGTACGTTGCTTGCGTATCCAAGATCTTGATCCATCGTCAGCGAAGAGTTTGAATTGTACCATGTAGTTGATGACTGTTGATGGTTGTTTTGTTCCAAAATCGACGGAGAGTTCATGGCCGTTGCCATATTCGCAGCAACTTTAATATTCTCCTTAATTCTGCGATTTTGAAACCAAATTTTGATCTTCTTCTCCTGCAGATTCAGTTCCAGCGAGAGGTTGTACCTCGCCGGTCTTGAGATGAATTGCACCTTCTTGAACGTCTCCTCCAGCTTGTTCAGCTGGAAAGACGTGAAGGAGGTGCGAGCTCTCCTCGGTCTTGCTACGCTTCCAGCGTTTTCACTAGCTTGCTCTTGCGCCATCTAATTATAAAGAAAACAGAAATAAACAAATTAGTTATCAAAATATTCAAAAAAAAACGTTTTTGTTGATCAACTTATCTCCACATTGTTGTAATAAACTTGATTCTGCATATTGTTCTTATAGTAACACGGCACTACTTTTATCAATTTGTAATTGTTGTTGTCTGAACGGAAAACACTCGGTTTTTCAATGATGGCCTCAAGATCTCGTCGGTATTTATGCATCGAGTCGGGGTTCTAACCCTGTGGTGGGTATAAACCCTAACCAATCACAAGGCACAAACTGTTTTCCCTGTGGGCATGCCTCCCTCTTCATTTTTTTCTTCTACTTAGAAATATTTCCAAGAACAAACCAACAAAATAATCTTAACTATTTTCAATGTTTCAAATATTATATTTTTAACAAATTTTCTAAATTCACAAAAATAAAATTAATAAATTTTCAGATTCAATCAACTTCACTCATATTTCAATTTATTATATAAATCTACTGTAATTTCTACATTTGTGGTACGTCCAGTAAATCGAACATACATATATGAAATATAATTA